AGAACCCTCAAAAGGTTCTGTCGAATTTTTTATCCGTTTTTTGAGACTTTGGACACATTTGGATGCTTTTAGAAATCTACAGAACCTTTTTGAGGGGTTCTGCAAACCTCCTTTTTTTTTTTCAGAGTACTAGGGACAGACTACAGCTAATGTGAATTAAATAGAAATTGGTTTTACTTGACCGAATTTTGTTGAAATTCACTCAAACTGATAATAGCTAGCATGGAATTGGTTGGGTTTTATCTGAGATTTACTCAAATTGGTATGGAATTATTATGAAATAATTGGAGTTGTTTTGTAATTCATACGAAATTGTCTTCTATTATCTAGGGCTGATCAAATTTCTCTAAAACTAACGTAAAATTCATCAAATCTGATAAAAAAAGTCATCAAATAGCATCTAGATATATCTATAGTTTAGGCAAAAATGAAAAAAAATTTGAATTGACCTGAAAAAGGTTAATCTATCATTTTGTTTTACAGAATAGATAAATATAGAATTTTGTTTACTCAAGTTAGCTCTTTATTATTTGATAATTATATAAAAACTTGATCCATTTTAGCATAGTTTTACACGTTGCTGCCGATGGAGTTAAAATTTTTAATTAAAAAAGTTTTAAAAGTGGCTATGAGATTTGAGTATGCTATCAAGTTTATTTTCAAATTATGTTTTTTTTATTTCATAGGAGAAAAATATTTTGACGAGAGAATAATAACGTATTTGCTTCTTTACTAATTTGTTTTACATTGTAGTGTAATGTAATCGCATTAAAATCTGTTTGTAAATCCGTTGCGAAATTCTATGTAAATAGCATACAATTCTTTTGAAAAAATATTGACCTAATTCAAGAATATGTAAAAATATTTTTCGCTTAAATAAAGTATCCATGAAAGTTATTTTATTGAGAAAAATATAACAACTTTGAACACATGATTTTACACTATCAGAAATCGTAAATCAAGTATTAAATGATAATTGACTCTTCAGAATTTTCCATTGGTCTAAACACTACCCAGTGAGCAATGATCAATGAGCATTGTGTATATCTCATTCAAATAAGAATATATGTTGAAAAAAGCCTTGACATGTTTGATATATAGTGTTGCGTAATTCGAATGCGAATATATAAATCTGATGTTGTAAACCTTGTAATCTGTTATACGAAGAAAAATAAATGTCGAATAAGCGGTTTTCAATAAATTGAAAGTACCAGCATGATGATTTTACGTGTGCTTTTATAAAAATATATTACATGAATACAAGTGACTATTTTTTTTTCTTTTTAGTGAGTTTTTTTTTCATATTCATATTATTTATATTTTATTAAATGGCTCGTTCTCGACATCCTCATCGTCCAGGAAATGTCGCAGCTGCTACAACTACAACTCAAAATTTGTCTTCATTTGATGATGATTTTGTTGAAGAATTAGATACAAGTGAAAATATAACACATGTACCATCTGAAGAAACTGATAAAAATTCAAATGAAAATACTGTTACCATACTAGTTCAAGAAGATAATCAAAATGTTCCAGTCGTTGCAAATGAAAGAACACAATTACGATCAAATGTTTGGAATTATGCAAAAAAAATTTCAAAAGAAAAATCTCAATGCAATATATGCAAAAAATACATTAAAACTCCTGGTGGTAGTGCAACTACATTACGGAAACATTTAGTAACAATACACAATTTAACTCACTTGGCATTAGAAGCAAATCCACGTGTCAAAATCGATAATTCAATTTCACCAGAACAAAAACTTCGTTTGGACTATTTAGCCAATCTTGCTATCTTTGAAGATGGAAGAACATTTGGTGATTTACGAAAAAGTGGCATATCAAAATTTTTAGCTGAAGCTATACCAGGTAATATTTTTCAGAAATACGATTAATCAATACATTATATACTTGTATATACACTGTCGCCGATCAATAATTTCTTATGTATGAACAGGTGAACTTTATATTTCACACTTATATATTTTTCCGTCGAAATTTTTTAGATTTAGCTACTTGAAGAAAAAAAAATTTTTGTAAACAGAATAATTCTAGAGTTTAAAAACAACACAAAAAAGAAAATAGTGTTGCTTTCATAGTAAAAAAAACTATAAATTTTGTCACTGTATTCATTCTCAGCATAGTATTTATTGTAACGTGAATAAAGATACAAAGTTGCACAAAATCAGGCTTGCCAAATCTCCTGATTTTCTCACTTTTCTCCTGATGAACAAATCTCCTAATTTCAGGAGCTGATTTTTACGACTTTCTCCCGATTTCTCGTGATTTTTTTTATCATTTGATGATTAGCAACATCTTGAATCAATGCAGGATTTGAAGAGAAAAGAAATTTTTCATTTTTAACGCATATAATCATGATAACAGTCAATAAGAAAATGCATTTCTTTTCGTTTTTTCTCTCACACGAAATTTTAATTAAATAAAATTATTTGTAGAGCACCCGTTTTCAATGCATTATTCACAAGAATATGATATACTTGTACTTCTACAGACTTCTACGACTATCTTTAAAAAAACACATCTTTTAAAATAGCTTCGATCATCAAATAAGTACAGTCATATCGCAAAACTACCACGAATTGCTTAGTAAATCTATTAGTTGTTTTTTACTCTATGTTTTCATAATGGTATTTCTTAATTTGGATTTACTTGTATATATTTCGTATATTCTAATAAGTGCTAACAACATGAATACTGAAATAAATATTATGAAATGAATGGTCTTTCTCTATTTATTTCGTTTATAGGAGACTTTTTCCTTCCATGGCACGGTTAACTCCTCTTGATTTAGAAACCAGAAATGTGTAGAGTAGTGAAAACTTAGATTTTATTAGATAAAACCCAAGAAGAGACTCCTAGTCTTCAAAGGAAAATCTCCTGATTTTTCTCCTGACAAACTCCTGATTTTTAAAATTATGATTTGGCATCCCTGCACAAAATATTTAGAGTTTAAAATTTCTTTTTCTACATATATTGTTGGAAAACAATTGGTATCAATTCATTAAAGTGTATTGAATAGAATTCGTCCTTTTGACATCTTTAACTTTCAGCTCTTATAATTCACATATATTTTTATATATAAATCTGACCAAGCTTAACGGTTTCCGATAATTGAAGCTTTAATAGATATTTATTAATCTTTAAATATGTTTTACTCAAGTCAAAATATATCTTTTATTTAAAGTTACTTATATAAGAGAATCGTCGTTTGTCGATAAATCATTTTCTGAATTGAACGATCATTTTATAATTATTTTGTGTTTTGAAGATTCATTTCATATCATTATCTCACCTATGTTGTTTATTGAAAAAACGCTTCATGATGTTATATTTATTATCGCTTAAGAGTCTCATATCTTTTAGTTTCCAATAATTTTTATTTTTTTTGTAATAAAATTGTAAGCTTGATGAGCCAATAAAATATACAAAATATTTCTTAACATCGTCTCTAGTTTTATTCTGTCATCTTTGCAGCTTCTATGTTTATATATATACATACTTAAAATCGACGTAATTTAATCCTTTGATTATTTTCTATATTGCTTATTTTCTGATTAGTTTATACTTTTATTTGTCTATTTTCTATATAAACATCTAACTTGAAATATAAATTCTATATAAAACAAGATTGAATGAAAATACTTACTTACATAACAGATAAAAAATGATATCATGTATCAGCGAACATAAACGTTCAACTTGCATTTTATTTGCATTACATGAAGCATAAATGTGAATATATACTATGCTGATTTAAAGAAAATTGTTGATGCTATATTGAATTTAGCTAATGATTTTCATATAAAATGCTAAACTTCATCATTTTTATCATCGGGATAACACATTCCGAAAAGAAGTTTCGCTGCATACGTTAGTTTAATATTGATATTTTGAAACATTAATCAAAATTTACTGCTTACAACCAAGCTTACATGTTTACTGAATTCTAATCGGAGGTTGAGAAAATTCATTGAAATTGATAAGTAAAACTTCATTGTAGTAAACATCCCGTCGTAGTTCCGAATAACAAAAAACATACATTGGTTGAAATCGATATGTACATTCTTTTATTTGTTTTTCATCACGAGTCTCACCTCATTGTCAAAGAGTTTAATTGTTGTCTAGTGCTTTCTTAAATTTATTCATATTTCACAGGTCGAAAATCATAGGGTCATTTTCAAAATATTGACAACTTATTAACTAGTTTAGCATATATAATAATATCCTTATCATGGTATATTGCAATTTAATGTCTGATCTATCATATGCAGAATGTCACTCAGAAATTGTAGCTAGCAATCAATATGATAAATTACATTTTTGAGTTTCGATTTTCTTTACTGAATTGAAAAAATAAAAAATCAAACTAAATAAAGATACTTAATGTTCATATATATATCGAAACTTCTGAATACTGTCATATCTTAAATAACGTTATTCGTGTTTTTTTTATAAATTATATTGCTATATCTTTACGAAGTGTTTTATTTATAAAACTTAACAGAAAACTATGCCATTGAGAGTTTTGTCTTTATATATATTTAATATTCAGATTTGTTCTTTACTTGTCAAAATTTTGATTTGACAGAAGTTATTATAATTGTTTAGTTATTGTCTTTAGAATATGTACCACCTCACAGAAACCAAGTGCAACGTCAATTGAAACGATTAGTTCAGATACTACCTCATTGAGATCTTCCTATTGCAGCGATCTGATTCTAAATGAACTTAATACTAATACTACAGCATTTTTTTCATAAATAATTCATATGAAGATGATGAAGAAGATAATCAAGATTTGATTACGGACACATGGAGTAATGACATAATAACAGGTGATGTAGACAATATGAATATTGATGAAGTTGATAATGAAGAACATATTGCTATTACTAAAAATAAATTAGCTGAAACGATCCAAAAAGGTCGTTCTTTAATTAAAGTTATTCGACGTTCACAAATTTTAATGAAATGTATTAATACTGAAAAAAAATGTTCGACGTAAAGCGTCGATTAGTTGTCGATTGTATAACTCGCTGGAATTCAACATATTTAGCTTTTAGTTCTCTTTTAAAACATAAACCTGTTTTAATTAATTTATTTGAAAACAAATGAAAATTACCTCTTACTACAAAACAAAAGAAAAGCTTGGTTTATTGGAATTATCAAGTGATGACTATACGATTCTTAAAAATTTAATTGATATATTTGAGCCTTTATATCAGACTACTAACCTACTTAGTGGATACAAATATCCTACCATCGGCTTATGTCTTTATGCAATACGTAATTTAAAAGAATATTTTGAAAAGGAAGAAGAAAATGATTCAAATATTTTAATTACTTTAAAACGATTCATTCTTGATGCATTAAATCTTTATTTCGATGAAAAAGATGAGCAATTTTCTCTTTTGATGGTAAGTCACTCTGCATGAGAAAATGGCATGAACAAATTCTATTTATGAACAATAATTCGAAAATGTATATTTTTCGTTTTTATGAAATTATTATGAAAAGAACACTATTGCTACTACGAAATGGTTAATGCCATATCATATTCAAATAATGATGTAGTACATAATATTTTATTACTTGGTCTATGAGAATTGATTGCACAATAAGATGTTGGATAGGTATTTTATATATAAAATTTTATCTTAATAGAGAAAATGTTATAGTCCGGACAAGCATTATTTCTTATCATTCTATTTTTTTCAAATTTGCATGTCACACATATGAAAGTAGAACAAAAATAATCAGGATAAAATCATTATTTGAAGTATATTAGCATTATGCTTGTTTTGTTTTATTTAGTTGTATGGATACTTTGATCCTTTTGGTTATTCTGTCCTTACACCAAAAGAAAGATTAAAAGTTGAACGACAAATCAAACAAAAAAGTAAAGAACAGAACAGATTTCAAACACCTACTACTACATCATCTGCATTAATATCATCAAATGAAAGTGTATATCCAAGTATCAAACAAAATCGTGAAAAATTAAGTCGTTTAGATACGTATTTAAAATCTATCAATAAATATATGCCAACCAACAACGTTATTCAAAAAACAATATCTGAAGAAATATCTCATTATGGATCTTTAGTGAAAACTGATTCACCAATGGATGCTGTTTTATTTTGGCAACGTTATGGAGAACAAATGCCTATACTAAAAGCCATGGCACAAAAATACCTATCAGCTCCCGGTACCAGCGTACCATCGGAATCTGCTTTTAGTTCTTCAGCATATATCGGAAGAAAAGAACGTGCACAACTCAGTCCAGAAAATCTTAGCTACACTGTTTTTTTACAAGATAAATTACGATCGATTTAATTATTCACTTATGTATTTTCGTATTTATTATTTAATGATTGAATTTACTCAGATTTATTTAATTATTTATTTTATCGTGCATTTATTTGTGTACATTAAATTTATTCATATTCATTTTAATTATATTGTGTTACTTACTCATTCTTTTATTTTATCATTTAATCAATTATATATACTTGTTTGTGGATATTGAATACATTTATCTTGATTAATTAGATTATTATATCGTTTATTCAATAATGTATTTATTAATAATGTTTATTATATGTTATTATATATTGAATTCTCTAATTATTTATTCATTGATTTACTTGAATAGTTTTGTACTGATATATAGTCAGCATTCCAAATTCGTTCATTTAGAAAAATAGTTGAATATAATATTTCATACGTATCCTCTTGGTTCGATCTAATGTTACCCGACTTATTCAATTACGCAACTATAGTGATCACTTTTTCATTGTTTGTGTATTTTATGTAAAGGAATTAAAATAAAAATTGTTGTAGCATAGCTAAATTAATTGATAAAATATAACCCTTAGAAGTTAATACTTTGGGTGTCTCAAGTTTGTTGGATGAAGATTTTTGAAAGGGTAATTTTGAAAAAAAAACAAAAAAAATCTAAAAATGGCTTCTCATATTATTTTCCATAAAAAACCAATTTACTACAACTGTCCTTCAAATGGATATTTTAAGCGATTCATTTTTGATTTCTATAAGATTAAATTTCACTGAGAACAAAAATAATTCATATTGATTTAATGGAATAGACTCGAGTAACAACATGCACATTATCATCATCTATTTCATTTATTACAAAAGAAAAATTTCACAAGATAATGTTCGACGAAAAATACTTTTTCTATAACAAATTTTAATGAATAATGGATTAAGCTATTTCGAATAAATCTTAGTGGTGTGCTTGACTTCCAATATAAATATCATGAGTAACTATAAAAAATACATTTCTGTCGATCTGCAAGATATTTTTTGTAATGATCGTCTAATTCTGTCATAAAAGACCGAGTCATCCAATGACTATATGTTAATAACAAGAATATAGTATGCAAATGAACGTAGTTGAACGAATTACTACTAACCTATCGCTGTACTTAGCAGCATAATTTAAATATGTGTAATACATATGAATAG